ATGGGTACTTCACACATAACTATAAAGGCTATTTTTCTTATAATAATTATAATTTCCATTTTAGGTACAGAAGAAGGATCCTAAAGACTGGGCTGCTCAGTACCGGGAGGCAGTAGAGATGGACGTTCAGGCTGCAGCTGTGGCTGTGGCTGAGGCTGAGGCCAGGGCTGAGGCAAGAGCCCAAATGGGGATTGGAGAGGAAGCTGTGGCTGGGCCCTGGAATTGGGATGACATGGATATTGACTGCTTAACAAGGGAAGAGTTGGGTGATGATGCTCAGGCTTGGAGCAGATTTTCCTTTGAAATTGACTCCAGAGCCCAAGAAAATACAGATCCCACCAACAATGTCAACTTCAGTCAAGGAGCTAGTACCAGAAATAGCTTCAGTGATGGTGCTAGTATTAGCTTTGGTGGTATAACCAACCCCAGTGGTGGCTTTGGTGGTATACCTAACTCCAATGGTGGCTTTGGTGGCATGCCCAGTCCCAGTGGTGGCTTTGGTGGCAGAAATGGCATTACCTTTGGTAGTGTACCCAACCCCTCTGCCAACTTCAGCAGTGCAGCCAGCATCAGCTTTGGTGACACATCCAACACTAGCACTAGTTTCAGTGGTGGAGCCAGCATTAGCTTCAGTGGTACACCCAGTACTAGTGCCACTTTTTGCAACACAGCCAGCATCAGCTTTGGTGGTGCATCCAGCACCAGCACCAGTTTCAGCAGTGGAGCCAGCATCAGCTTTGGCGGCGCACCCAACACTAGTACCAGTTTCAGCAGCACAGCCAGCATCAGCTTTGGTGGCGCACCCAACACTAGCACCAGTTTCAGCAGCACAGCCAGCATCAGCTTTGGTGGCGCATCCAGCATTGGCAGTAGTTTCAGTGGTGGATCCAGCATTAGCTTTGGTGGTTCTCCTACCACCAGTACCAGTTTCAGTGGTGGAGCCAGTATTAGTTTTGGTGGTGCACCTTGTACCAGTGCCAGTTTCAATGGTGGAGCCAGCTGTGGCTTTGGAGGCACACTTAGCAGCACCACAGCTAGCTTTAGTGGTGCACTCAGCACCAGCACCAGCTTTGGCAGTGCACCTACCACAAGCACTGTCTTCAGTGGTGCAATTAGCACCACCACTGGCTTTGGAGGCACACTTAGCACCAGTGTCTGCTTTGGTAGCTCTCCCTGCTCTGGTGCCGGCTTTGGAGGCACACTCAGTACCAGTATCTGCTTTGGTGGTTCTCCTAGCACCAATACTGGTTTTGGTGGTACACTCAGCACCAGTGTTTCCTTTGGTGCTTCTTCTAGCACCAGCTCTGACTTTGGTGGCACACTAAGCACTAGTGTCAGTTTTGGTGGCTCTTCTGGCACCACTGCTGGCTTTGGCGGTACACTCAACAGCAGTACCGGCTTTGGTGGTGCCATCAGCACCAGTGCTGGCTTTGGCAATGCACTCAACAGCAGTGCCAGCTTTGGTGGTGCCATAAATACCGGCTTTGGCAATGCACTCAACAGCAGTGCCAGCTTTGGCGGTGCCATCAACACCAGCACCGGCTTCGGCAATGCACTCAACAGCAGTGCCAGCTTTGGTGGTGCCATTAGCACCAGTTCTGGCTTTGGCAGTGCACTCAGCACCAGTGCCACCTTTGGTGGTGCGCTCAGTAGCAGTGCTGACTTCGGCAGTGCCATCAGCACCAGTGCCACCTTTGGTGGTGCGCTCAGTAGCAGTGCTGACTTCGGCAGTGCCATCAGCACCAGTGCCAGCTTTGGTGGTGCACTCAATGGCAGTGCTGGCTTTGGCAGTGCCATCAGTACCAGTGCCAGCTTTGGTGGTGCGCTCAGTAACAGTGCTGGCTTCGGTGGTGCCATTAGTACCAGTGCCAGCTTTGGTGGTGCACTCAATGGCAGTGCTGGCTTTGGCGGTGCCATCAGTACCAGTGCCAGCTTTGATGGTGCGCTCAATAACAGTGCTGGCTTTGGCGGTGCCATCAGTACCAGTGCCAGCTTTGGTGGTGCACTCAATGGCAGTGCTGGCTTTGGCAGTGCCATCAGCACCAGTGCCAGCTTTGGCAGTGCCATCAGCACCAACCCCGACTTTGGTGGTGCATTCAGTACCAGCGTTGGCTTTGGTGGGGCACTTAGCACCACTGACTTCGGTAGTACGCATAGCAGCAGTATTAGCTTTGGCAGTGCTCCCACTACCAGCGGCAGCTTTGGTGGTTCTCACAGCACTAATCTCTGTTTTGGTGGAGCACCCAGCACCAGTCTCTGTTTTGGCAGTGCATCTAACACCAACCTATGCTTTGGAGGCTCTTCCAGCACCAACTCCTGCTTTAGTGGTGCTACCAGTGCCAATTACAGTGAGGGGCACAGCACCAGTGCCATTTTCAGTTTTGGGAATGGGCTAAGTACCAGTGCTGGCTTTGGAAATGGATTGGGCACCAGTGCTGGCTTTGGCAGCAGCCTAGGTACCAGCACCAGCTTTGGTGGAAGCTTAGGCCCCAGTGCTAGCTTCAATGGTGGCCTGGGCACCAGCACTGGCTTTGGTGGTGGACTAGGCACCAGCACTGGCTTTGGTGGTGGACTAAGTCCTAATGCTGACTTCAGTGGGGGGCTGGGTACCAGTGCTGGCTTTGATGGTGGACTAAACACTAGCACTGATTTTGGTGGTGGACTGGGCACTAGTGCTGGCTTTGGTGATGGACTTGGCAGCGGCACTGGCTTTGGTGGTGGCCTGGTCACTAATGGCTTTGCTGGTGACCTGAGTACCAATAATGGTTTTGGCGGCACACTTGGCACTGGTGCAGGCTTTAGTGTAAGCCTCAGCACTGGCGATGGCTTTGGCAGTGGGCCTAATGCCAGCTTCGACAGAGGACTGAATACCATCATTGGCTTTGGCAGTGATTCCAACACCAGCAGTGGCTTTACTGGTGAGCCCAGCGCCGGCTCCAGCTTCAGTAATGGACCCAGTTCTATTGTTGGCTTTAGTGGTGGACCAAGCACTGGTGCTGGCTTCTGCAGTGGACCAAGCACTGGTGGCTTTGGTGGTGGACCAAGTACAGGAGCTGGCTTTGGCGGACCAAGCACTGGAGGCGGCTTCGGAGGACCAAGCACTGCACCTGGCTTCGGTGGGGGACTGAGTACCAGTACTGGCTTCGGTGGTGGACTGAGCAGCAGTGCTGGCTTTGGTGGTGGACTGAACAGCAATGCTGGATTCGGCGGTGGACCAAGCACCGGTACTGGCTTCGGTGGTGGAGCCACTAACCTGGGTGCCTGTGGCTTCTCTTACGGCTAATGAAGTTTCAGGTAAGTGCAATATTCCCAGAGCCAGGACCCATGGGGAAGCTATGATAGTTGGGAGCTACTAGAAGAAACCCTAAGACAGGAGGACCAAGGATGAGGATGAAGACAAGAAAGGAAACGGGAGGAAATGGGCCTGGTGCTAACATGTCTCTGGGTATTCTGCTCTGTTTTTCAGGTTTGTTACCCATGTTTACAGATAACGCTAAGGCAGCAGTACTTCCCATGGAGCCAATGTGCAGCTTTGGAATCTCTGTCCACACAGCAGCCTAAGCAGCTACTACCCATTAGCTGAGTGAAACACTGAAAAATCTGCTGTTCCTGCTTTGTGTTTGCTTCCTGTGTTGTTGTCATATTTTGGTATCAGAGTTACATTAAATTTGCCAAAGGAATCTGAGTTTATTCCATCTTTTGATATGGCTAGATGTGATGTTCAGGGTTTGTAGAACAACTAGAGTTCAACTTAGCTTTTTGGGGACTCTGGGGCTCCAGCTAAAAGGCAGGTATTTCTCAGAGTCAGAGAGCTCTAGGAAAGTATGGCAGGCCAAGGGATAATAGCTTGAGCAAAGATATGGAAGGGGGAAGCCCAAGGTAGAATGCAAACAGAAAGAGCTATGGATAGTAAATTCACACTAACTTGGGGTAATTGTTTAAGAATAGAGGGATAAGAAGGGAAGGAATTAGGAGTTGACGTGGGAGCAAGAAGACATTCTCTTGGGATAGGAAAGAAAAATAAATATGGACTGTAGGGCCAAAGCCAAATGAGAGGCAGGGGATTGATATGTATGAGTCAGGAATTGACTGAAGTAGTACGAGACAGTGGAAAGGGACAGGGTGCCAGAAAATACAGGGTGACCCTGACTTTGAACAGGATTCAAGGGTGGCTGTAGGAGTAGATAAATAGACCTGTTTCAAGTAGTGATCTACAACCCTAGTAGATCCCAGAAAAAAAAGTGTGATGATTCAAGGCTTGGCTCTTACTGGGTGGTTGATGAAAGGACTAGAGAACAAAGGCGGCGGCAGCTAGGTTATGAGTCTGTTTATCACATGGACACTAGAACCTGGCCCATAATGAGTAGTATATTAGATATGGCTAGTGTGGCTGAAGAAGTAGGTCCAAGTTGGTTAGGGATTTCAAGAATATTGAGAGACTAAAGAACTAGGAGACAAAGGAGAGCCCAAAAGGAACATACTGATGAACAAGGGCAGATACTGTTCATTTAGGAAATACTACATGAATGCCTATGGTGTGGAGGCATACTGCTAAAGTCTTAAGGATGATAAAATTTTACAGACTTGAATGAACCGGAAGCTTCCAGCCAGTAAGTTAGCCCAGAGAGAGGATCCCACAAATGAAAACAGATAACCACTGAAGTTGAGGGGGTCACATCCCTGGGAGGGAGGGAGGGTGTTAATGGCATCATTAACATAGGCAATGAAATTACTCAGGATAGTAGCAAGAGTTGGAGGAGACTGAAGCTCTTAGCCCAAGTGATAGATTCTTCTCTGAGTATAATAATGAATACATCTTGTTCCCGAGTAACTTCACTGCCAAGGAACAAAACCAACAGGAACTCACAAGGACCTATCTTTTCCATCTTTGAGAGTGCTACCCCAGGACTCTTTGATCTCAGACGTCCTCACCCATTCTTCACCAACAGTACCAGAGTTGGGTAAGAATCAAGCTCTTGAGAACAATGGGAGAAGCCATATAGCCTCTTCCCGTCCTATAGGTGGGAAGACATGTCTTTATTCATTAGAAAATAGTTATTTAAGAAGAACTTTATCCATGACTAAGTAGGCTCCTTAGGAATTGAGACTTGTTTGGGAGCTGCTACGGACTTCTTCACTGGAGGTAGGGCACTCTCAGGACAAAGCCAGAGTCTGCTTAGGGAGAACAAGGGCAGCAGTTCCTACAGGAGGAAAGCAACGAGGACAGAGGCAATCTGACCACTTGGAAAGGATTCAGTAATGGGCAGGGACAGTGTCCAGGGCCTCCTCAGGTTCACGGGTGATGTCCACATTCTAAGGAGAGAGCCCAGGGTTAGTAGGAGGTATAGGGCCCCAGCTCCTGTCTTGTCTCTTGTCCTCACTGCCAGGCATCCCTCTTTCAGCAGGGGATGGGTCCTGGTACTCTTCTTAGGCATGCCCGGGAATCAGCCTGAGGCCTGTTCAGCAGGGATTGTCATAGCCCTGGGTCTCTACAGGCCTAGACTATGGTTCTTGCCATTTCTGAGTGCTGATTGATTTGAAACACCTGGGATGTCTGGGGCTGCAGACAGCCTTTCCATGTGTGAAGGTACTTTCAGAATGTACCTTGTTAACAGCCAGCTTGGGTACAGAGCACCCTACCTACCTCAGGCTTGTCCCGGTGTGTGTTCACAGCTTCTACATTCAGGTAGATGGACTCCACTCGGCAGCCTCAGAAAAGAATAACTCATGTGTCCATCAACACTCAGGATAAGCCCAGGTCTTCCCGAAGGTGAAGACCTTTCCCGTCATCCTGCCCACACCCAGGCCCATGCTCTCTAGATCAGCAGTTCTCAATCTATGGGTCACGACCTTTTGGGGGGTTGCATATCAGTATCCTGAATATCAGGTATTGACATTACGATTCATAACAGTAGCAAAATTACAGTTATGAAGTGGCAAAGAAATAATTTTATGGTTGGGGGTCACCACAACATGAGGAACTGTATTAAAGGGTCACAGCATTAGGAAGGTTGAGAACCACTGCCCTAAATTATATCTCCCTTGAAGGCAGGGGAGTTCAGATGAGCTGTAGGATGTGCGGGAAAGATTTCGGGCCTCAAAGCCCAGTTCTTCGTGTGCCTGTTTGCTCGGCTTCAATTGCGCATTTGTACATGGGGAAAGAAATGAGAGGAGATGATCTTTGTGATCTCCCCCAACTTCTGCGACCTATAAGCCAGTGGTCTTAATCTATGTATGGCTGACAGAGTCCTGTGGGTCCTCCAAGCCATGCTAAGTGGGAGAGTCCTAGGCTGTGGTTCTGGGTACTCAAACCCAGGCAAGGTTTATTCAGAAGACAATTACAGGAATAATAAAGTTGTGATTCCTGGGAAGTTCTAGGGAACCTGAAGAAGAAGATGCGTGGGGCTGACACAGGAGCTCCACTCTTCAGTGGTGGCCCCTTCAGCACCGTTCCTGTAGACTACCCTATCACGGGTTCCAGTTGGTCCTTTTATCCTGTTCACATCCTGGGCTACATTTGATTTCCTTTCCTTGCTTATGAACCTTTCATAAGTAACTAATGCCCCCATTCTTCAATATGGCCCCAACCTGTAATTTTCCTGAGGTATCTGTTGGGGACACAAATAGAACAATGTTCTGTACTCAGGACCCAAGTAGAGACCGAAAGAGCCAGGCTCTGGATCTGGATGCTAGCCTAGTCCTTCCCTCTTATCCTACTCTCACCAGCTGCACCTTTACCAGGACATCCTGCCAGCCACCTAGGGAACCTCACCCAGGAACCTTCTAGAACAAATGGTAGGCACTAGAGGCATAGTCCTGGCTTCTACGTGCCTTTCCTTAGATGAGAGCGAGGGTACTTACCATAAGCCACAGGTGTGAGTTTGAGCACTGTGTGCAGAGGACACTTGAGATAGGGCAGCTCATCTGGAAAGGAGGAAGAAACAGCCTTGAGAGGTGCAGTACTGGGCAGAGGACCACATCCAGGCTGCTGGGTGTTCCTCCTTCTACCTCTGCTTCCTACTTGAGTCCCAGTACAGACTTACAGCTGGTATTCTATAGGGTGGGTAGTCACAAGAGCAAGCTAAGCAGGGTAAAAGAGAGCAACCTAGCTGCCTGGAAACAGGAGAAAGACAGCCTTGGGAAAGGTGGACAGAGTGTGAGTCCCATGGTAGGGCTAGGTACCCACCTAGGGGCCTCAATTCTTTACTCAGAATCAGCAGGAGATGAAAGCAAGCCTCCCTCCTGCCCCAGGTCAACTTTCCACAGACTCCTTACACCCTCTACCCCCACAAGAGTCCACAAATCTAAAACCTTTCTAAGTACTACTTCCGTGGCAGAGGCACATGTACTATTTGACTACTCCTACACTCTTTCCTCCAGCTCAGGCAGCAACCCCCCACCTCCCATCTGTCTCCCTGTCTCTGTCTCTCCCTCTTTCTCTGTGTGATTCCTACAACTTGTTTATAGACAAGAACTGATTGATTCACTGGTTTCCTGTTATTGACGATTGCGCAGAAAGTGACTCTGAACATTTATGTACAATTTCCTTTCAAGACCAGTGTTTCTACTTTTCAGACAGACAGAAAGGAAGGGTGATCTGGCTCATTCCATAGATAAGGAAATGGGCTTCAAGGGGAAATGTACCATGGCTAGGAAGGGTACTCTGAAGACAAGATGCCTACTCTGCCCTTGCAGTTTGTAACTGCCACCATGGAGGGCCTCACAGAGCATTGGGGATGTACACCTTTTGGGGCACTTTGTCTTGATATCCACCTCACCACTCTCCAGGCTGCATTACATATCCTTACTTCCCTTATTTAGCTAGAGTACCAACTCTGGTAATGACTTCTTGTCCCTTAGGTTAATTGTAGGCTTTAAAGCATGCCACCATCCTCTCAATCTCCTGATATATCAAGAGAGGGCATTTTCCTGGAAATTGACTCTCTTCCTCCTCACTGTCAATCATTATAATTAAGCTCTGGGCCAACGACAGTTTTTGTGTGTATGACCACACTGTACCCTCATTGATGCTCTGAGTCCTGTCCACTGTTACTTTCCATATGAACAAACAGCTTTGGAGAACAGAAGTAACTCATCTACAGTCTCTGACCCAGCTCTACCACTGTCTCCTCTCTCTGGTCCTCAGTGTCCCCATTTTAGAGAACAAGATTAGATTAGGTACAATCTGAAGATGCCCTAGTCCTGCAGTCTGCATGTATGCATTCTAACTCATATCATTTCTCTGGGCATTCCTTCATCACTCTCCTGACTAAGGGTAAAACTATCTGCCTAGCCCTGTGCAACCTTGCTCCCAGGAGAAGTTGTGAGCAGCTAGAATGGTCTCTGTGTGAAAGATGGTAAGAAATGGAGACATTAGGAAGTAACTGCAAGGCCCCTGTGTATATTTGAGAGGGCAGGGCCTCTGACAGGCATCGGGGATTAACTCCTATACCATGAACTTGGGCAAGTCATTTCACTGCTCCAAGCCTTGGTTTTGTCATCTGAGCAATGGGAACAGTGCTCACAATCTCAAAAAAATGCTCTGAAAAGCAGAGATGTAAACATATCAGAATTCTAATACTAAAAGGACCTCCATCACATAGTCCATCACCTATTTCAAGTAAGGACATTTTCAAGGGAGGATGTTGAAGACCAGGTAGAAAATAGGACTTATCCAATGTCAAGTTCTCAAGTTCCTTGGATTCCAATCTTGAATTATTCCATAGTTTATATATTCCTTATTTTGAAATTAGCATAACAGAATTGACTCAAGAGTTTGGGACACTGTAGACATTAAAAAATAGCATTTAGCATTGCTCCCAAATACCTTCAAAATATTTTGGAAATGCCAACATTTCAGCATCCACATTAGAAATGGATTGTCATATGAAGGTGGTGCCAAGCCACCTGAGAATATGTATGTATACATATGTATGGCAGGATTTGAAGTCTGTGTATACATATGTATGGCAGCATATGTAGTCTCCTCTCTCTCTACACACACACACACACACACACACACACACACACACACACACACACACACATGTATATATGGCTGTATATGAAGTCTGTATGGTAATATATGAAGTCTTAGTGTGTGTGTATATATATATTAAGTATATACACACACATATGGCAGTATATGAAGCCTGTGTATATATGTATGACAGCAAAGCGTAAGTAGTCTGTGTATATATATGTATGGCAATATATAAAGTCTGTGTATACATACTTTCATAAATACAGGGTCTAGATAGTTTTTAAAAATAAATTACCACTTGAAAAAATTAAATTATAGACATTGCTATCTTAGAGAAATTATTCCTACAGCAAGGGCATAGGTCTCACTCTCAGCTGAGGCCAGTGTGCTTCAGAGATATACTGGCTCAGCATGTGAAGCTGTGGCAGACTGTTTATGCTGGCTTTCAGTATGCAGATTCTACAGATTAGCTAAGAGTATACTAATAATGGCAATATAGCCCATAAATGCATCATCTGTTATTGGCTTTTAACATGTTTATTTCAATTTTACCATTAATTCTTTCCATTTTATAGTTGAGAAAACAGGCTGGTGGGGGGTGGGGTAACAGTACTTACTGAAGGTAGCACAGACACGTGTAACAAGTTTGAACCTAGATATCCTTGTTTTAAATATTGTGCTTTTAACCACTAAGATATAAACTTCTAATTGCTGACATCAGCATCTCAAATCATATCCAGCTCTTCACACCAGGAACGGGCGTGGGGTGTTACCTGAACTTTTATCCAGGAAGTATGCCAGGAGACACCGCATGACAGCCTGGTGACAGATCACTAGTACATTTTCTTGTCGTTCTAGCTCCATTATAACTGGCTCAAGACGCTGAACCAGATCCTCATAGGACTAAACAAAAAAAGAAATACTTGGTAAGAAGTGGGAGTGGGGGGTGAAGCTATTTACCCAGCGGAAAAAAAACTTGGTTTGGGAGCCAGTTGAATTGTTGACCCAACAGTATGACTAAGGCAAATCACCTGTTTCTTAGGGTTTTAGTTTCTTGTCTGTTAAAGGAACCAAACAATAAGTGTGGGCTAAAAGACAACACTATACCCCACACTATGAAATGTGTACTTAACTGTACAACTGGCATTTCAAAGAAAATAAGGAAAATTCTGACCTGTAGTATTCCAAAATGAAAAATGAAAACAAAATAAGTGGGTGTAGATGCCACAGCTCTACTGGGATATTTGGCAATCTCATTAACCAAGAAGCTGGGATTTCAAAAACCTTATAGAAATAGGAGTTAAGCTAGGAGTTGGGACTCAACACAAATCTGAGACTCTCAGAGGACAAATCTTTATAATGCTGCAAGCTGCAGGAAAATGTAATGGAATTCGGCTATTATCACAAAAGCTACTACTAAGGTCAAGCCATGGTTTAAGAAGTCTTGGTGATATTTTAGCTTTTGTATATATATTGTCCAATTCCCACAATGATTTTCTTGTATGCTATGTGTGGTTCCAAGAACTCCTAACAGTGTATTTATTTAAAATACCTATCAAGCATCCAAGGCCAAATGATTTCCTGAACTAAGGTAACACCCTTGTGGAAAGTGCTTGTTTCCTAAGTCAGGCTATCGCTTTATTTCTTGTGCAATTTAAGGTGAGACCCTCCTTTCTTGTACAGCCTTACTAACATTATAGACTCCTAACTTCTTACCTAACCACTTCTAGGGATGTAGACTGAGCACATAAATTCCCTTTTTGATATACTAACCGATCATTAGTTCTCAGTTGACCTCCTCCTTTACCACTCCCCTATGGGGTGGTAAAAGAAAGCCTGGTGGTCACTGCCTGAGGAAAACTCTTATCTGCCTTTATGACCCTGTAAGAATTCAAGCCTGGTGACCTTGCTGTGCCAGAGGATTGCTATTGCTTGAGTTTATAGCTGAATAGCCTAGAGAACTTGAGGATGGAGAACAGAGAGGTGTAAGGAGACTTAGAGGAGGATTTGACATATAGAACTTGAGGATGAGATGAAGAAGACAAAAGAGAACAGAAGAACTAGATGGGTAAGAACTGGAGAGGAACTAGACTGAAGGGCTAGAAGAGAGTACTAGAGGAACGAGATGGAAGATGAAGGAGAGCCAGATGGGGAAGAACAAGATGAAGAAGATCAAGATGAGATAGAAGGAGATGAGAGAAGAGCTAAAATGGAAAAGAACTGGATGATGGATGAGAACCTAGAAGGGACAGAACTAAGATGAGAGAACATAGAGGGGACAGCAGATAATGTAGAGAGAAATCAGGTAAGAAAGAAGCTAGGCACGAGAGCAGAATAGAAGCTGTGTAGAGAGAGAACTGACACAGAAGAATAAAGTGTATGGACTAAGCAGTTTTGTGTACATAGATTCGTTTCTTTTCATCAAGGATTAAATTATCAGCTGGTTGTAGATTCTTCCCGGACCCCCATAGTTCCCGATATTATAGCCTCAGTAAAAGTTCAAAATAGAAAAAGTCCATCCACAGGAAAAAGGGAAATAGTAAGAAAATGTATCTGCCTCTCTGATTCTGATGGGAAAACATGAAAAGCTTCCTGTAACAATTTATTTTAAAAGGCTGATGGCATAAAGAACATGTAGGAAGTTTTGTAACCTCAGTACCAGAAAGAAAAAAAGAAAGAGAGAGAGAGAGAGAGAGAGAGAGAGAGAGAGAGAGAGAGAGAGAGAGAGAGAGAGAGAGAGAAAGGGAGGAGTGGAGGGATATTGAGGAGAGGGGAGGAGAGTGGAAAGGAAAAGGGGGACTAAGGAGATGGAGGAGAGAAGTGGAGGGGAGAGTGGGGAGGAGAAGTGGAGGAGAGAGTGGGGAGGAGAGGAGATGAAAAGGGGAGAAAGAAGAGGAGAGGAAAGAAGGGGAGGGGAGAGAGATGAAGGGAAGTGAGGGGAGGAGGTGGGGAGGGTAAATCAAGTAAGTATCTAGACATAGAAGAGTGAAGCTTATAGGTAACAAAGATATAAAGGCTTTTTTTCACTTAGCCAATGAGCAAAGAAACAATAATGAAACCGAACAATTTCTTAGCCATACTGGAAACAATAAAACAATGAGAGAAATATCTTTAAAGTGCTGAGAAAATGATAATCAACTGGGAGTTTCATATGTAACCAATTAACATCGAAGATTGAGGATCCACTCCCAAGATAGTTTTAGATAATAGGAAGGGTGAAAGTACTAATGACAGATTTTCAGTAGAGAAACTTCCATAACAAAATGGAAAAATGGAACTTGACATAGAAGCAAGAATGATCAAAGGATCAGTAAATATTTAGTTAAATGACTTATAAAGTAATAATAACAGTTACAACGACAGCAGGGATTAAGAGATTGAGGCTACATGAAAATATAAGACACATAAGTAAGGACAGGAAGTTACTGAAGTTTGAAAGATCCTATACTACTTAGGGGGAAAGCAGAGACATTGGTTTTTAGATCGTTAGCCATGTATATTCAAATACTAAATGCTCCTATTGCAGTTTCACCTTTATATATATATATATATATATAAAACACTATGTTCTATTTCCTCTTCCTTGGGGAGGGGTATGGGAGAGTAGGGTAAAGGAGGGTATTATGGGGAGGGACAACTAACACTAAAGGCCTTTTGAAAAACCACATGGAAACCTTCTACTGTAGAAGCTTCCTAAAATATACACATACATGAAAGGAATTTAAATGGAGTCGCCATATAATAAGAGAGACAATGTCCCAATGAGACATCTTGTGTTACCAAGTAAAAACTCCAGTCCCAGGAATGGGTTACATCTTGTTGAATCATTGGCCAAAGGGGTCCCACAGAAGGCCACAAAACAATGCAAGCTTTTGGTTTTTCTCTACAATCTGATAGTAAGGCCCTATTTCTGAAGACAAAATTTACTTATGTCATCAAACACAGGGAAGTTGAGTTAGTGCCCAACTAAGCTTTACCCCTACTGACTAGCATTCATGGTACTGGAAGGTACTCTGCACACTACCAGAGGAGAAAGGTAACTGTCAATGTCATCCAGCTACAAAACCTGTGCCTTATAACAGTGACCTGCCCACAAGATATACTAGTGCAATGGTGGCACAAACATTAGGGGAATAACAAACCAGTTTTTAATTGGATTTAAGCCTAATTCTATGAGATGAAACCTATACCTGACACTGCTAAAGTGTCCAAGAACCTGACACTGGATAGGTCATTAGCCTATGGGAAAAATCTAACACTATTATTCTGCTAAAGGAGCATAACTATAAATGACTCCTAATGACATATTGCTATACTCATAGATCAGTGCCTCACTCAACTCTCATCAGAGACGCTTCCTCTCGTAATAGATGGAAATAAACACAGAGACCCACAACTGGACAATGTGTGGGGGTGAGAGACTTTGGAACACTCAATCCTCAATGGGATGTCTTCATCAAACCCCTCCCTTCAAGACTCAGGGATCTTATGTTGAAGAGGAGGCAGAGAGATTGTTAAGAGTCAGGGGTGATGGATGACTTCCAGAAAATAGTGTCTCCCAGATACAACAGGATTGATGCACATATGAATCTATGATAGCATGCACAAGACCTACATGGATTCAAGTCACTCAGGGTCTCAGCACTGAGAGGAGGAAGTGGACACGGAGTCCCACCCCTAACCAAGACGTTATTTGCAACTGATACCCACTGGCAAAATCAAAAATCAATTTTCTCCAATGTATTGTCACCGGTATATCAAGCACACTTCAGAGCAGACCTTATGCTCAAGAGTAGCTGGCCAATGCAAAATTAACTCCATGTTTTATTTGTTTTGTTTTTGTGAGCTTTTTGTTTTGTTTTGGCATTTTCTGTCTTACTGGTTTTTTGTTTGATTTTCATTTTTGTGTTTTTGTGTTTTTTTTTCTAAAAGAGACAGAGAGGAGAGAGATAAAACGAACAACATAAAGTTGGGCAAGAGGGAAGGTAGGGAGGATCTGGGAGGAGTTGGGGGAGGGGAAAACATAATCAAAATATATTATATGAAAAAAATTAATTAAAAAAGAAATATAAAAAGTTAAATGTTCAAGTTGATTGTATAGCAATACACAACAAATTATTCAGAGTGATTTTAAAGTACAATATTTTGACCTCATACCCTTAGTGGGATATCTTCAAAAACAGAAAGAACCATGATGGATTTTTTAAAGTTAGCGTAACCTCCATAAGAATCTGGAAACAGATTATAACACATACTGATGAAAAACTCAATCCTAAGGAAAGCAAGAGAAAAATAAAGTAAGCATAGAAAGTTCAAGACAACAGAAACAAATGTTAAAAAGTCAGTAATACCAGGAAAAATATATGTACCATGCTTAGTATTCAAAAAACATATTTCAGTTTGGATTAAAAACAACAAAATTCAACTATAAACTGCTTATAAGAGACATAAATAAAACAAAAGTACTCAGAGAAGTTGAAAGTGAATAAATAAAGATGAACTCAGAAAATGGTTAGAAGATACCATGTAGAGCTAGATTTGTGTTAGGTAAATAGCATTAGTAAGGGAAAAAGAGTTAAGTCATTCTTAATAAAAATATGTAATTCAGCGAGAAGACAACATTGCTTTTAATTTGTATGCCTCTAATAACACAGTCTAAAATATATATAAAGGAAATGAGAACAAATTAACATTAACTTAATAAAGTCCCTTCTGAGAATGAAGATGAAAATATTAAAGTGATTTGTGACTGAACATAACATCTACTGTTTTATCTTCCCAGATGTCCATATTTTCAGATAACTGTTCATAGGGTTTTGGATCAGAGATGGAGTATGACTAATAAATACATTAAAATGCAGAACTGGCTAGGTAGAGGCTGTACTGAAAGCAATAAGCATTCATCTCATATAGAGACAGGAAAATTATGGTCTGGCTCACATGGTAGCCAAGAAGTTGATTAAACTAATAGCTTTTGTTCTTTGCCAACTGCTGAGAGAGCCTGGAACTTTAGGCAAGTTGGCAATAAAATATTACAGAATTAGAGTATATTGAGCTACTTCAAGTTGTCCAGTGAGGACATGACAAATACAAGGCATTGGATAAAGTATATTCTTGTACAAGTACATAATGCCTATAAGCTTTAAAAAAAAGAGGAGTAGCAGGTCATAGCAACTATCACTGAGCCTGATGACCTGAGTTTGATCCTCAGGATCACATGGTAGAAGGAGAGAATTGAGTCCCATGGGTTCTCTGACCTTCACAAGTACGCATGGCATGGCACTGAATGAATGTATGAATGAATGAATGAATGAATGAATGAATGAATGAATGAATGAATGAATGAATATTTTTAAAAGAAGAGAGCTAGGTTGCCTAACAGCTAAGGATCAGATGATCATGTACGTTGACAGGTGGCAGCTACTGAAAACATGCTTTGCCTTGTTTCTAAAGCTATTTACAAAACTCTGGCAGTTGGAATGAAGATACGGGGGAAGAATCCTAGGAGTGAGACCACCCCTTCAACTTTACCTCTCCCTTTGGATAGCGGTAACGATATTTATCTTGGTCCCGTAGTGCAAATTCTTCAGGGTAGTGTTCCTGGATTTCTTCATAGGTCATCTCCTCACAGACACCCTATTAAAAAGTATTTGTGAACAATATAAACACCAAGGGAAATCCACATAGCTTTTCACACAGTTCAGAGACCAATGATTATAGAATAATATAACACCTGGGTTTCTGTGAATGTAGCTCTGGAGTTGTACCTGTTGCCTGTGGTGTGTATGTGTGTGTGAGGTGTGTTGGCTTGTGTGTGTGAAGACAAATGGAAGGGTGTGTTCAGACTGAGTATATGATATTTTCCTATGATTGCCTCAATAGTTCTATATGTGTACATTATATATAGGTATATATACAATAGGGACTTACTACTGTGTTTGTAAGCATGTGCAGCATGCTTATTATGTGTGCTGTTGTGTGATATTTTGACCGCATTCTGATGATAAAGTTTGCTTTGAGTCAGAGGGCGGAGCTAGCTACTAGCTGACCAAATTAACCATGGAGGTCTTGGACTGAGGACAGATAGGAGACAGGAAGTAGTAAGGTGGGGCTGAGAGAGGATCTCAGGCCTTTTGGATGGAGGAACTGAGGACAGAGGAGGTGACTGGTGGCTTCTCTGCTTCTCTGATCACTCAAGTTCTTACCCCGATATCTGACTCCTGATTTTTTTTATTGATAAAGAATTAGATAAACACATCAGTGTGCTTGAGATATGTTCAAAGCCTTGTGTTTGTGTATATATTGTGTATCTATTTTTGCATATGTAGTGCACTCTGTGTGTATGTACAGAGTGTCTAAGTATCTGAGAATATGCCCATGTGGGTGATTCTGTGGCATGTGTCTTCATGTGTATTGTTGGCATATATCCATGAATATGTGCATTCTGCATTATATTTCTGCTATATATTTGTATCTGTGTGACTATGTCTGAAGTCTATGAATTTGGGTACTATGCCTGAAGCTATCTATGTATTAGTGTTTTGTACATGTCAGTGGCTTGCTCATCTGTATCCATATGAAATGCATATATGTATATGATGTGCCTCTATTTATTTCTAGATGTGTGTGCATATATGGTGCAGACATGATTGGCAGAAGAGGGCTGCTGTGACTGTGAAGTGCATGTGTATACCTGTAAGCATACTTGTGGCAGATGTCTGAAACTCTGTATGCAAGTACACAATACAGTGCAACTCTCCCATTGGATAGCCTTCCTTAACCTTCCTGTCCTGCCCTCTATTTTAATATCTCTGGGAAAAAATCTATCCACAGATACTTCAGAAGGCAAAAACTAGGAAATTTTTAATGGTTTCAGAGTGGGTCTAGGAAGATAAATTCTGAGAGCTTCCAAGTCTACTGAGAAATCCCCATAGGCAAGGCTGCTGGTGCTAGTGGTAAAAAGTGATATTGTTTCTGACATTTCCTTCAAAGTGTGTGAGTTTTAATTAAACTCTGTTTGTTTGGTGCCTGGGGTCACCACACTTGGGCTGTTGTCATTTTGGACTATCTACCAGGCTTCCTTCAGGGACAGGGAATAGAACACTTACAAATTACAAACAGCTCTGCAGTGTCAGGCTTTCTGAATGAACATTACTCATAGGAAATAAAGTGCACAAAGATCCTTTTAGACTGTTTTAAGCTTCTATTCTGAGGCGTATTGTGAGGCTTTTTGCCTATGGAAATGACCATTACCTTCTTATTTTGACTTTAGGCAACATGTTTAACCTCTCTGACTTTCATTTTCCTCATCTGCAAAATATAGAAAATAACAACTACCTTATCTAAGTTGTCTAGTTTGGTTCTCTTGCTGTGATAAACCATGACCAAAAGCATTTGGGGTAGGATGACAGTCCATCACCAAGGGACGTCAGGGCAAGAACTCAAGCAGGAACAGAGGCAAGAACCACGGAGGAAACATGATTACTTGCTTATTGCCTTTAGGCTCACATTAAGATGCCTTTCTTATACAGCCCAGATCTACCTGCCTAGGGATGATACTGCCCACGTGAGCTGGCCCCCCTACATAAATTAAAAATCATGAAAATGCCCCACAGACGTTCCCATAGGCCAATCCCATGCTGAACTTCACAAGATCTCCAAGACACAAAATGCTCTCTTATACATAGCTGGTTGACAAAACATAAAACAAGGTTTGATGAACTAATTAATTAGTTCCCTGGAATAGAGGTAACCAATGAGATAATCTTAGAATTAATTACCACCTCCATACACACATGCCAGGACATTAACCCTTTCTATCTTACCGCATCAATCTCATTCAGGGCTTTCCACTGTTCATAGGGGACACCTAGGGCCTCAGCAGTCTGAATGGTCCTCTTCATATGGCTAGTCCACACCTTCAGGGAGCTGATGCCTTGAGACTGAATGAAGTTGGCCAGGGCATAGGCATACTAGGGGTACAAAGGAAAGAAAGGAAAAAAGAAGTGAGAAGGGAAAGACCAAGGGAGCCATAAGAACAAGTTTAAATCTCTCGTGAATGGTGAAGTACTGAAGGACAAGCAAGAAAACGAGGGTTAAATTTATATAAAGATAAGCCTGGGATTATGGCTCAGAGGTAGAACATTTGCCTAAAAGATATTGAGGTGCTGGGTTCTATTCCTAGCACCACAAAAAAAATTACATAAAGACATACTCTTGAGAAGGTGTGATACAGAGAGGCTGATCAAAGGATACGAAGTTATGGTTAGAGATTGATCAATGGGTACAAAGTTACAGTTAAGAGAATAAGTTCTAATATTCCAATGCACAGTAAGGTGGCTATTGTTAAAAATTGGTGCTGTATATATCCAAACCCTTAGAAGATTTTGAACGTTCTCATCACACACAATATTAAACCCATAAGATGATGGGCCAATATACAATTAGCTTGGAAATAGTGAATTATATCTAACAAATATGTACAGTCATAAAGGGTCAAAAATAAAAGCCATATCTTTTCCTGAACCACTAAGGATGAAAGAAAGTGAAAAAGAGTATCTATGCTTAGCGTAGGGGACACTGATGCTTGTTCACTGAGCCCCCTAATAGGTGAATCATTCATTCAAACAGGCCCACCTCTAACATGTGGAGGCTAAGAACAAATGGAACACCCTGTGGTCTGCATCCTTTCTCCTTCCATTTCTGATGACATCCAGCACTTCTCGGTATCTTTACTACATGTCTGAGGTTAATCAAATCACATCACGGAGTTCTGGTTATGCTCCATCTCCAGTGGTCCTCTTCCACACAAAGAGTAACCTTGGGGCTACACTTGGGCCTGAAAGTTAATATTCCTGTGACCATAGCCTGTCCTCAGTTGGAGACTGGAGGAAACTATCAGCTAGTTGCACTGAAGCAGATTTCAGGCCATTACAATGGGGTTCTAAGGTTATAAGTGCCCAGAATATGGTCTGGAAGTATGGATTGAAGGATCTGAAAGACAGTGCTCTGATGCTGTGAATTCCCATTGCTTGAATGGGGATCCTGGTACCCAGCTAAAAGGCATTTGCACATGCATTGAGTATTCATAGCCCTGTTTTGGATGCTGGAGTGTTAATCCCCCCAGATCCAGCCACTTAGGGAGAGAAACATTGGCAGTACAGAAGGGAACCACAAAGGGCCATGGGAGCCCTGTGTACAAGGTGCTAATCAAACATGGCATGTCCTAGGTAAATCTGCACAAATGGTCATAGGCACAAATCTGTATGATAGATGCAAGTCAGTAGTCAGTGTTCATGGGTAGAAGAAGCCCTTGCCTGAGAGAGTAAGAGAAAGGCAAATCCCTAATAGCTCCCTTACACAGTGCCCATCTCTGACCTTATATCATACCTATAAAATGTAAACATCATGCACTTATCCAGCCTTGTCTCTGAGCTGTGTGGAAAGCAAACTATTTTCTGGTACACAGTAGGTACTAGTTAAGTGCAAGTTATAGAGATTAGGGTGGCTGGCCTTTAAAACCAGGCCTGGTGCAGCGGGCTGAAGAATGCAAAGGTTTGGGTCTGATGTGTGCATATATATACACACACATATACATACATACACATGTGTGTGTGCAGGAGGTACTCATGTGGACATGGCCACTTTTCCAATGAGTGTGCAAGTAAGAAATGGACTAACTATAGCAAAGAAGTCCTGGAGATGAAAAAATACCTCAAGTGATCTCAGTCTCTGTTCTGGAGAGCATGAGAGGTAAGAGTCAGGTCAGAGGCAACTTCCAGAGGGAAGTTTCCAGTCCACAGGGATCAGAAAGGTTCTCTGAGGACAGGGCTTCAGGGACAGTCCCAGTTTGGGACATCTCCCACCTATCAAGCGGGGGTGCTGAGGCAAGGCAGGAAAGCCTGGTTTTCAGTCCTGCCTATGTTATCTTGTACTGACCATGTGACCTGAGGCTGCTTTCTGTCTCTGTTGCTCAGCTTCCTCAACCATAAACAATGACAGTTACGCTCAGTTCACACTGCTGATGGTATTCAAAAAATACATGTGGAAGTTGATGGTACTGTGGCTGTATATAGGTGTCTAATAAAAGACAGTAAGGGGCTGTAGAGTTGGCTCAGCAGTTAAGAGCACTGGCTGTTATTGCTCCCAGCACCCATATGATGGCTCACAACAATCTATAACTCCAGGGGATCTGATGCCCTCTTCTGGCCTTTGTGGACACCAGGCATGCACGGGGCATACAGACACACATGCAGGCAAAACACATACATGTAAAATAAAAGCAAATAAAACTAAAAAAAAAAGACACTAAGAACCACTAATGCCTCTCCTGTACTTCATTTCTTCCCTATGCTATCCCTAAGTGATTTTCCCCAGCAACATGTGTGATGACAAGCCTAGGTAAAGGACCAGAAGCTGAGAAATAAATCCCTTTATAAAACCAGTACCCAGAATGGAAAGGTTTCTATATCAGGCTGGGAACAGGGAGAGTAATGATCAGAGAGAGTCAGTAATAGACCACAATGAGGAGAGATGTTCCCAAAGGCCAGTGACCTATGAGATAAGGAGTGAATAGGGAGGAATTCCAGGATGACTAGATCTTGGAGCAGGAGCAGGGCCTTGGAAAGAAATGGAGTGATGAGAAGCAGTAGGGTGGGGGCAGTGTGATTTGTCAAATGAGGTAGGGGAGAACATCAACAGTGAGTCATGAAGAAGAGGGATTCAGGCTGAGACCCTCAGGTCACCTATCTATGTACTTGACAGTTACCAGCTGACAGAAGGACCAAAAGGGACAGCAAGGTGAGCATGAGCAAAGGACAGAGTGGTGAGGAGGATGAGGGAGGCATCAAGTATGGGAAGGGTGGTCTCTGTGATAGAGCTCGAGAAGCAGTCAGATTTGGCCAGCCTTGGAGGACCATGCAACTGGTCTTGCAGAAGCAGTAGGCATGTGGGAACCATTCAATGTCTGTGACAGGATTCAGTGACTAATGGTAGAAGATAAGGATCGATCATAATTTGCTCCTTTCCCATCAAAGGATACGTCTCTTCAAAACCCAGTCATTGGCCACCCCTCCTAGTCTACCCACTTGAGTCTTTGGAACCCTCCTTACCTGTTTGCCCCGAGTGGAGAGGCCAGAGTCACCTCCAATGCGGCCTCTGAGGTTGAGTTCACTCTCACCATGCCGGCATAGGTAGATGGATCGAGGTGTGACATGGATGTTCATGAGGTAGTAGGCTGTGCGGCTCTGAACATGGTCCTGCACTCGATTTACCATGTAGCGTGTGCCCACGTCGAAGATCTTGATGTAGGACAGATGACTGGGCCGGACCCAAGCAGAAACAAACATCTTAAGTGCTAATGGTAGGGAGAGTTGATCTCAAGAGAAATTCCCAATCACACATCCTGCTTCCAATCCTCCTCTGGAGTTCAGCTTCTACTTAACAAGATGCTATACCTAGTCTTGTTCTAGGTATATGTCCTAGAGATTTTGTTCCTGACAACCCCAAGGACCTCATCACTGTGGGCTACCATCTCCTTTCTTCAGCTTGAGCCAACCTGCCTTTTTACCTTTCCTAATCACAATGCAATTGGCTGAGGTTCTTCTCTACAGTCTACACCTGCAATTCACAAGTACTTTCATCTGAATTTAGGCACTGTGCTTTGGGTAGAAGTTATCTGCCCTCTGGGAACACTTAGAGCAGTCAGAAACATACACTTGAAAACACGTGGATAATAGTCAACATTCTTGTCACAAACAGCACAGTATGCCAAATATTGGTGTGAAGGGATACAGAAATGGTACAGAACATCATTAGCAAACTTATGGTCACGGCCCCAAGTTCCTGGTGGTCCCCTTAGTTATGTGCTCAGCTCTAGTAACTATATACTGAGAACTAATCAAATACAACAACCTATCTGGGAGGCAGGGTGAAGATACAACAGACTGGAAGACTTAGAGCCATGAAGTAAGACTTCTACAGCTTCTGTACAGCCATAAATCTCTAGTTATTTGACTGTAAGAATCTGAGAGAGCTCCATGGGAAGAGAGAGGTGTGGGAAATGGAGTCATAGGGTGACACAAGCAACCCAGGGCCCATAAGGCTGCTGATGGTTTTGGTTTCAGAGAGCTATTTCCTTGATCTTCCTAGAGAAGTCCTTTACATCTACAGTCTCATCCTTCACAGCTCTGGGATCCATATGCAGTGGCTCCCACAGAACACTTGCATTTGTTGAATATTTTCTGTGTATCTTGCACAGACTGGGAGATTTTAAGATGTATGAATCCTCACAGCCATCATTCAGAGAAGAGATCATCATGTAGAAAACTAAAGCACACAGAGAAGCAATTTGCCACAGAATGTGTCCCACTTCAGTGATCTCTTTAGGATCCTCAGAGCCTAAAAGCAGAAGATCTCTGATGTAATCATGCTGCCTGGCTCATGTCTGTTCCTAATACTAGACTCTATGTATTTCTAAGGGAATTCTCAAATTCCATAGCTTCGTATGTCTGACATCCTAAGTGATTTTACATGCCATCTACTATTGGTCTCACCACTCTCAGCACCACACTTTCCCCATGACTTTTTAATTCTTGTACTGCTGTTGTACTTGGAATACTCTCAGTACTCCTCTCCTCTTTTCATACTAAGAGCTAATTAGGCCGGCTGTCTCAAAGTACTTTTCATTTTGCTTGAAATGATGTACCCTGCTGATTTCCAAAGTTGAGCTCCTATGTATACATCTTTAAAAAGCTAGGACATTTACTCTCTCTAAGAAATCTTGGAGTTTAGAGCTATATAAAGTTATTTATAATTGCTCAATAACAAATTATTATAAAAGTTCATGTTCACTCCTACCTAACATGTGCAATTTGAAATAAAATACATAAACTATACTAATGAGGAGGCCTTGGTTTTATTTTTTGCCCATTTTTTGTTGCTGCTTTTAAATACTAATTGTCAAATGGTTGTAGAATAGTATTCTTTTTATTTTTGCAAGATCCAACATTGCTGATGCCCGGAACACATGGTTAGCTTGCCTACTGAATAATCCAGTTCTTCCAGGCATTCTTCCTTCAAGGTGGGCCAAGTTCCCTGTTCTGAGTTCTTTCAATCATCTGGCTTACTGTTCCCACACCTGGGGTCAACTGTATATACACCACCTTCTCCAGATTACTGGGCATTATAGCAGAACAGGGACAGCCTTGCTTCTTTGTCTTCCTTAGGCACTGCTAAAGCTGGTCGTGATGCATGAGCTATAAATGTCTATTAATTACATAAATTAATAACTAATTTATTAACAATAATTAAACAAAACTGGCCTTCTACATCTATCTTCTTCAGGCTCAATGGGCTTATCAAAAGAATAACAGAAACAAACGAAACCCAACAGTGCACCTCTAGGTGTCTAGACTTAGGTCTATGGGTTACCTTAATGTCATTCTTTCCCTTCAGCCCCCTTTCTGCTTATGATGTTAGCCTACACAGTGCCTTTGTGGAATCTGAAAAAGCCACTTTTCTCAAAACATAAACAACCCAGTTCCATTACATGTCTTCCTGAGAGAAACAAGTGTATCTTTGATTCAGGGAGCATGCACAGTGAGTAATCTGTAAAATTACACATGAAGGCCATGCCCCTTACACTGAATTTTTAAGTCTCATTTGATATTTCTTGTGATAGAAGGATGTGGAGGGGTGAAATCAGGCTGAAATTTGGGAAATACAGGCTTCATTCAGTATAGACTGTATTGCTGACAGTATAGACTGTATAGCCTCGGGCAAGCGTTTGACCTGATCAATCCCTAGTTGTCAGTTTCCCAAACTACAAAGTGATAATACCCATTTTCCTTACATTTTCATTGGATAAGACTGAAAGGATGCTTTTAAACTTCTTAGATTAATAATGACCATTTACAGCCTTTTTACACTTCATACCTGGGTCTCAAAGAGTATAGGTAGCCAGAGTCTGTTTTCATAAGAACCCATTTTGAAAGAAAGTGAGTTTCTTTGAACATTTTATATCTAAACTCACATCTGCTTTAAACTGCCAACCAATACTTCCCTATCTGTAGCTGGTATTATGAAAGCAAATTTTCTTATTTTATTGCTTTATAGTCTTTTCATATGTTGAGCCTCTGTAAAAGCTACCTAAGGACAGAACCCGTCTCATTTGACTCTATTTACACCTTCAACATGCAAAGTTTCCAAAGACTTGCTGATTGAAGAGATATATGATGGTTATGAGAGGCGAAACAACAGGAGACAGACTATGTGATTAGACTTCTAGCCTCACCTATGACTTATGGTAACAGCTTGGGAAGTAGCTTCAGCTCCCTAAGACTCAGTTTCCTCTTTTTGGAAATTTAGGATCTCAGCTCTACCACAGCCTCCTTTATGGAGGTACTATGGGAATGTGATGGAAGAAAAAAGCAAATCTGTTTAGATACTGTGGTGACAGTCATGTGACTAGTATTTCTGCAATAACAACACAATATCCACAGAAGGGAGGCATTTGTTCTGGGAGCAAAGTCTCGATCTGTGCCTATTATATAGGAAGGCACAACTTTAGTCACCTCATGAATACATCCCACATCAAGGAATCACTGTTTCATGGAAAATTGGACTGCAGGGGGTCATAAAGACATATCAAGTCCCACTTCTGATATTATGGATAGAAAAATTAAGGCCACCAAAAGGTGGACATTTCCTTAGGTCCCATAAGACATCAAAACTGGGCTAAGGCTCTAGACCTTGACTTTGGGGTGTTGTTGGGTTCTTACCTGTCCAATTCCTCATCCAAGGGTTGGTAGTTGATCTCATAGCACTCAATTCTCTTAAGAAAGTCTTCCAAAACCTTTTCTTGATCACAGTCAATGTAATCAGGACTGCCTAGTTTCACTTGCTGTGAGAAGGTGGGAAGAAGATAAATGTGGAGAAACAGAGATCCTGACATTGTACTTGGAAAGGGCCCTTACAGACAACTGACTACCACACACCCCATTACAAAGGCATGGAAACTTAGAGTTTGACAAATTTAGGCAAGCAAAGAGAAGCTGGGCTATATTTTACAATGTATTTACTCCCTGAGCACACACTGCTTGAAAACATCTGTAAGAAAACAGGAAACTGTTGCAGAAGAGTAAGATATCTTGACTTGAGAGCATAAAGGCTGTCCTGTTTATGGCTGAGAAAATAGGCATGTTGTCATTGGCTTAATCAAAGACTGGCACCTCCTAATCCTCCAGAATCCACCTTCTCCTCCTTTATTCCCCACCCCTCCACTCAATCACTTGAACCTACATGGAATCTCACTCACTAGCAGAAACTAAGCCTCTCTAATCTCTTTTCTAAATAGCCAATCTCTTTTGCCTACGCTCACTAGAGCTTTGTGACTGATTGCTGGTAGTCAGAAAGGCATTCCTTTTTAAATTTTACATCATTATTTTATTATTATTATTGTGTGCATGTATATGTGTATGATGTGGTGTCGGGGGACAAATGCATGCCATGGTGAGTGTGAGGATAACTTTGTGGAGTTGGTTCTCTCCCTTCACTTTTATGTGAGTTCTGGGGATTGAACTCAGGTCATCCAGCTTGTGTGCTGAGCATTTTTACCCATTGAGCCATCTCACTGTTCCCAGAAGGATATTTATTTATTTATTTTTCCTAGAAGGATATTTATAACATGCACATTTGACAACGGGACTCTCCTATTTAAACTCCTTCACCATTTCCAAGTGTCTTTTAGGACAAAGTATAAACTATTTTAGCAAGTGACAAATCCAATTGCCTTTTCACTACCATCCCTTACTGCTCTCCTATTTGGACATACATTTTGCTTTATCAGATCCAAACTACTTAGTTCCTTGGATGTATCATATTTAGTGTATGTTATTCCTCATTTCAATTCTTTACCTGTAAAAACTCCTGTGCACACATCAGGATATTGCTGTTATCTCTACTAGGAGGCTTTCCATTGCATCCCCTGACATGCAAGATTGGCCCTTACCACTGTGTTCCTACAACCTCTTTCCCCTTACCTCATGTCTAATCTCAAGGGCTCTGTCGATATATCTGTCAATGTCCCTAACTAGACTGTGAGTTCAAGAGAAGGGTTTTCACTGTTTCTATATCTTTTTTTTTTTTTTTTTGGTTTTTCGAGACAGGGTTTCTCTGTGTAGCTTTGCGCCTTTCCTGGAACTCACTTGGTAGTCCAGGATGGCCTCGAACTCACAGAGATCCGCCTGGCTCTGCCTCCCGAGTGCTGGGATTAAAGGCGTGCGCCACCACCGCCCGGCTGTTTCTATATCTTTAATGTCCACAAGGCCCACCAGGTGTACAGTTTCTCCTGAATCAATACATGGATGGATAATTGCGTGGATGAAGAGGAAAAAGATTTGAACATGCTATATATCCCAAGAGATAAAAATAGGACAAATGTGTAGCAGTTACAGGGAGATAAATTTCACTTTGATTGAGCTACATTTTTTTTAAGGACAATGAGTATTGTTACTATAGGTGTGAACAGAAATATAGACAAATACTTAGCTGAAAATTTAAGTACTTGATGAAAGGTTGAAAGAGATGGCCTTTAAGGTCTCTTATGCTCCTGAGCACCAGTAATTTGAAGGGGCAGGGAACAACAAAAGTTTGTTAGTGATCTAATTCTAGACCATGCAGTTAAGAGGTTAAAAGTAGCAATGATTCTGATGTGCAATGTGGGGCACAATACAGAATATGAGCTTTTGAGAAAGACAGCCAAGCTGGGGTGCATTCCTACTTCCATTTTTTTTGAGCTGTACCAGTCTTTGCCAACTCAACTCTTTGAGCCTTAGTTTCTCCTCTACAACAAACATGTAGGTTTGTTGTGAAAAAAACTGAGAGAGTCAAGCTTAGTGCTTGATGCATTCTAAGGGCTCTACAGATGCTGGCTTCATCTACCTTTATAGGAACACTGTGGGCAAGGATGGTCAGGGGAGTGCTTCTTATACAAAGTGGGAGGAGCATCTCGGAGAGGAATGCATTCTTTAAGTCTTTTAGGTATGAGCCAAGCCTAAGACAGAATCAGGAGGATTGAGGGTTAGGGAGATGACTTAATGGGTAGTTTGCCACACAAGGATGAATACCTAAGTTTGGATCACCAAAACCCACTGGATGTAGTGGTGTGCATCTGTAATCCCAGTGCTTCTATTGTGAAATGAGAAGTGGAGACAGAAGGATGCCTTAAAATCTCAAGGGCCAGCTAGCTTGGAAAATACAACAGAGAACAAGAAGAGACCCTATCTCAAATAAGGTAGAAGGTGAGGACTGACACCTGAAATTATCTTCTGACCTCCACATACACACCACAGCATGTGCATTCCACATTTCACACATTTCACACATTTCACACATTACACACACACACACACACACACACACACACACACACACACACACGTATAATGTATGCGTGCATATATAGACATACATACATGAGGATTTAAATGTAAATTAAATTAAAACTTTTTTTTTATTTTGCAATACAATTCAGTTCTACATATCAGCCACGGATTCCCTTGTTCTCCCCCCCTCCCGCCCCCCCCTCACCTTCCCCCCAGCCCACCCCCCATTCCCACCTCCTCCAGGGCAAAGCCTCACCCAAGGACTGAGATCAACCTGGTAGACTCAGTCCAGGCAGGTCCAGTCCCCTCCTCCCAGGCCGAGCCAAGCAACCCTGCATAGGCCCCAGGTTTCAAACAGCCAACTCATGCAATGAGCACAGGACCCGGTCCCACTGCCTGGATGCCTCCCAAACAGATCAAGCCAATCAACTGTCTCACCCATTCAGAGGGCCTGATCCAGTTGGGGACCCCTCAGCCACTGGTTCATAGTTCATGTGTTTCCATTCGTTTGGCTATTTGTCCCTGTGCTTTATCCAACCTTGGTCTCAACAATTCTCACTCATATAAACCTTACTCTTTCTTGCTAATTGGACTCCCAGAGCTCCACCCGGGGCCTAGCCATGGATCTCTGCATCCAGATCCCTCAGTCGTTGGATGGGGTTTCTAGCATGACAAATAGGGTGTTTGGCCATCCCATCACCAGAGTAGGTCAGTTCGGGCTGTCTCTTGACCATTGCCAGCAATCTGTTGTGGGGGTATTTTTTTTAAAAGACTAAGGAAGAAAGGTAATTGGTGTTCCTTACCTTGATGTTTTCTGCAATGATGTCAGGGTCATTACAAATAGACTCAATAAAGAAGACCTAGAAGAGAAAAGAGAGCTTTTTGGCGAGCCAAATAAGTATACCCATTCTTGATACCCCTGAGTCATCCCTAGGGACATTTCTAAAAAGAATGCTTTCTTTCACACAATGGTGCTTTCAGGATTCTGACTCCTACGAGGCAGCCTGGCTCTAACTGAATTGCCACAGATTTCTGCTGGGTTTTGGTTCTTACATGTTTCTCATGACTCCTTCATCACTGCCACCTCACTATTCCCAGTATCAGCCTGTCAGTAACCAGCTTCCACTGCCTAACCTGAACATCCCCCTGTTCTGCTCTGCTCTGTTGTTTTTGAATTTACCAGGAAGCTAGATGTTGAGCCCACGGGGTCCAAACTGGCTGCTCTAAGAGCCCTAATTTGTAATTCCTTGGAATTTGCTCTAGGTAAGCAGGGCTGTGTCACTCTACCTTGTAACCATGCTCTTTAGCAAACTGCAGAATCAATGACCGTCGCTCTCTGGTAGTGTTGGTGGCATCAAAAACCTAGAGACATGTAATAAGATTGGTTTACTCTCAATCTAGTGTTGATATAATACCATTCTTCATTCACCTTTGTTCCAAGTGGAGGGCTTCCAGAAGGGGGCAGAACTTAAAGAGAGCCTTAACGAAAAAGGAGGGTTTGGAATTGGCTTGTGTCGCTTTCAAAAGCATTCATTGAGCCCTTACTGTCTGCTCAGAAATGTCCTCCACCCTACAAATGTAACAAGGCATGAGAAAAGTTTGGGGATTTTTCTTAGGATCATGTTATAGGTGAAGTAACAGGCCTAGACGAAGGACTTGCTCTGATAACAGCCATGAATTACTGATAGAGCAATTATATAGTTGCTTCCCCAGATGAGACCTGTCCTTCCTAAAGCCTTAGAAAAGCTCAGGAACAGGAAAATTCCTTATCCTTATCCTTAGCATCCACATATTTGAGGACCTCTAACCCAAGGATTTAAGTAAGACATTAAATTGCCGAGATGTTTGGGCAAATCTCTCTGTAAATAAAGAAAAGAAAAAACAACAACAAAAGACATGCTTCACAGCTTATGTTCTACACTGTATGGAAGTCTACGGAGTTGTATAGACTTCGGGTCTTGTTATTTTGGTATGGTATGTTTATAATTGTTTGCAAGGATTTTTAATAAGAAAGTTTATAACATTTTGATAGAAGAAAAGACAGTAATGTTTGTACTGCAGTCTAAAATTTCTTTTATTTTTAAATTTATTTTTTATTTTTATTTTGCAATACAATTCAGTTCTACATATCTAAAATTTTTATACTGCTAAATCTTGAGGACAAATCAATGAAGCATGGGGCTTAAGAGTATGGATTCTACAAATACTGTACCAACCTGGGAAACAACTGAATCTTTCTATGGTAATTCTTTTGGAATCTAAAATAGAGTATAATAATGACAACTATCTCATGGGGCAATGTGAATTAAATTATTAATATAAACAAAGTACTTGGAATAATGTATGGCATAAATAAATACTTAGTACATATTATCTATTTTCCATAATGACAGTTTGAGGGGGAAAATGGAAGATTATTTACCGCAACATGACCCTCCTCACGGCTGAGATATTTATGGACGTCCTTTAGGGCAGCCAGAGCACACTGCCTGAAAAACAGAGAAAGAAGCAGACAATCCCTCTTCTCAGGATGAGTTCCCCTCACCGCTGTTCTCTTATGGACCATCTCTCATACGTTTTATACTAAATTATCCATCTGTTAAACATCTACACAGCCCCTTTTGTTCTAGGCATCATGTTAAGTACAGAGGGGTCACAGTTGAAACTGGCTCTGTGTGTACAGCTTAAGATGATGTATAAGATGACATGCACAAGAAAAGTTGAGCGATCAAAGCATCCTAGTTTTAGGGCTTTAACTGTGTGCTACTGGAGCTCAAGTTGAATTGGTTGATGAACACAGGTAAGGCCTAAGGATGAGGTCTTTGAGCTAATGAATTTCCAACACAGGCAACATTGTAAACACAGGTATGATAGGCATAACATAATATACTTAGGCTTTCGGCAAAAAAATCTCTTTACTGGTTACTGGTTACTGGGTCTATAGTGAGGACCCAGTTGAGAGCCAGGTTGCACCTAGAAGTATTTACATCCATATAGGTAAAAGAGACTTTAAAGTTGAAATGATGACATTGCAGAGACTGAAGAGGGCTGAGCTACTGAAACACTCAATCTCAGATGCTAGGGTAAGAAATTTCTATGTTCTCTTACCAGAAACAGAAGACTGTAAATGCTTCTTGATAGAGAATGGCTATTACTAGAGCAGACTTCAAGTAGGCTGGTAGAAAGACTGGACACAGGGGTGTTCAACTCATGGCATAGGATAATTATGAAATGTGGCCCAACACAAATTGTAAACTTACCTAAAACACTGAGACTGCATTTTTTCCCTATTTTTTCATAACTTGACTAAGTAATTCTCAAGCCTGAACATTGTAGATGACCACACTATGCTGCAATGTCAAAAGCTTGGACACCCATGGAAAAGCAAGTTACTCTATCCTACTCCCCTAGAAGGATATGAAGAAAGGTACTCCTCAGGCGAAGGGCAGCACAGATCCTTAAATGTTGGGCACTTACTTCCTGATAAGCTGGGCCTCCATGTTGTCTGGGAGAAAGAATTCATAGTTCCTGTAGCTCACTGCCTCTCGTCGATACTGGCCTAAATTAAACACTGAAAACAGGAAACCCTAGTGAAGAGGTTGGGAAGATTGGAGTGGCCAAAAATATGTTCTTGCTGGAAGGAACCTCAGAGGTAGATGGCAGAATTATAGGAAATTGTACATATAAAAGGAAAATATACATATAAAACTACAAATTATGGGTACCAACTCATTTTCTCTCTCATATTAGTCCTGCAAAGTAGGGTTAACCATTTCACCTTTACAAATGAGGAAAGTAAAGCTCAGAGGTACAAAATAGCTTTCAAGTTAATAACTGGCAATCTGGAACTGAAACTCAAGTCTGTTTGACTATAAGTATGTTACTTTATCATAAATTCCAACGTTTAAATGTCCTATTCAATAGGGAAGATAAAGAAATGAGATACAGAGAGCAAAATCAGTTATCCAAGGTCAAACCAAGAGTGAATTGATAACATATACAGACTGGGTCTCCTGACTCCCAGTTACCAAGGTTATTTTATATCATAAGGGATAATCTAAATGTAAATCTCTAAAAAGTACTTTCCCACTTGTGATGGGGAAAAAAACAGAGAAGGAATGGAGAAAGAGGATAAACAGCTAAAGAAATCACATTTCATTAATTCATTCATCCAAGAAATAAATTTAGGATACTGTGGTGGTTTGAATAAAAGTGGCTCCAATAAGCTCATATATTTGATTGATTAGTCATCAGGGAGTGGCACTATTTGAGAAGGATTAGGAGGTATGGCCTTGTTGGAGGAGGTGTGGCCATACTGGAGGGAGTATGTCACTGGGGATGGACTTTGAGGTTTCAGAAGCCCATGTCAAGCCCATAGTCACTCTCTCTTCTACCTGACTGTCGATCCAGACATAGAACTCTCAGCTACTTTTTCAGGCCATGTCTGCCTACATGTTGCCATGCTTCCCACCATGATGATAATGGACTAAACCTCTGAACCTGTAAGCCAGCCCCAATTAAATGTTTTCCTTTATAAGAGTTGCCTTGGTCATAGTATCTCTTCACAGCAATAGAACAGTGACAAAGAAAGGGAGCCTAGTATTGTTATGATGGGCCTGATCATGTTGTTATTTGGAGGAATATGAAAGATTTTGGGTCTTTGAACTAGAAAAGTGGTTAGATGCTTTAAGCAAGGCTTAATGGGCCATCCTAGCAGGAGTATAGAAGGCAGTGCTAAGGGTGATTTGAATTGTTGGGGCCCAGCTCAAGTTTCAGAGGGGAAGATATTTAGCAAGTGACCTAGAGACCATTCTTGTGATATTTTGGCAAAGAAATGTGGTGGGTTTTTGCCCTTGTCCTAAAAATCTGCCTGTGGAAGCATACGGAGGTTTCCTAGTGAGATCTGAGCTTGCTTTACCCAGCAGGGCTGCATTAGAGGATGGATTGACCACGTGCATGTTTACCAGTTGATTGGAAGGATCTGCACTTGGTCATGCTAGGGGGAGGTCTGTTGCTCCACCCCTTGGAATTCCTATAAAAAGCCCTTTAGAAGAGACAGAAGGGGCCAGTGAATATTGCCCTAGGCCCTCCCTGGGCTATCCTGTGTTTCTGTTTCTCTCTCTTCTATCTTTCTATCTAAATATTTCTCACTCCTCCCTCCTCAAGAGTACCCTGGGGAAAAAGTAGGAGTGGGCCTCCCACATAGAAATGGGTAGGTCTCTCACATCTGCCTCAGGCTAAACTGAATTAATTTAAACTAATCTAAAAAGATTAATAGACCCAGCAGAGGAGATTTCAAGGCAGGCTAGTATTGACTGTGTCATGTAGTTATTAGTAATTAGTCTTATGTAAATCTATAATGAAAAGGAACAAGCTGAGAAAGGAAAATCACAAAATGTACAATTTGAGGAGAAAAGGGGCACCAGGAAGTAAAATGGAGCTAAGTTTTGTATTCAAAGAGATAAAAAGTTTAAAGAAAAGCCTGATGCTAGATGAAATAAAGGGAGTGGTGACCTCAGGGAAAGGCCCCAGCAAGTTAAGCTTCCAAATTGTGAAAAGGAATTAAGAAAAGCTTAAGCAGTGAAGAAAATTATCAAAACCAGAAAGCTAATGAAAATGTATTTGAATGAGGGACCATGTTCCAGCTCCAACAAGCATAAAAACTTGGCAGCTTTGGCCATGTGGTTCTGGCTATAGAGTCCAGGATACAAGAAAAGGGATATGGAATTTCCCTTTGTGGCTAAGGAAAGTAGCTGAGGCTAGGCCTATAGCAGGAGAGCCCCAGCATGGAAGCCCAGAGAGGCCATTGTGTAAAGCTGTAAAGGTGGAGCACGGATTGTACTGCAGACCCCAAGATGTTGGTGATGTCACAGTTGTAGGATACCCACTAAGGAGAACTGCAGAGCAGGTATGGAACCAGCCCAAGAGAGAGAATAGGGTGTTACAGTTGACAGGAGTTGGAGATCTGAAGAACACTTTGACATTAGACATGTCGATGTAGAATTTGGAGTTTGCCCTACTAGGTTTTGGTCTTGCTTTGGTCCAGTACTTCCTCACTATGCTCTCTTTTGAAATAACAATGCATATTCTATGCCACAGTACACTGGAATTATATGATCTGCTTTTTTATTTTGATTTTATAGGGGGTTAAAGTTAAGAGATTGCCATGAGTCACAGAAGTCTTTGAATTTTGAACTTTTAAACAGTGTTGAGACCGTGATAGATATGGGGACTTTTGAATTTGGACTGAATGCACTTTTGCATTACGATATGTCTACAAGGCTATGGGGACCAGGGAATGGAATATGGTGGTATGAATAAGAATAACCCCCATAAACTCATGTATTTGAAAGCTTAGTCATCAGGGATTAGGAGGTACGGAATTTGTTAGAGTAGGTATGGCCTTGTTGGAACAAGTGTGTTACTGGGGTGGGCTTTGAGATTTCAAAACTTAAGCCAGGCTCAGTCTCTCTCTCTCTCTCTCTCTCTCTCTCTCTCTCTCTGTACCTGTGGATCAAAATGTAGAATTCTCAGCTACTTCTCCAGTGCCATGTCTGCGTGCATGCTGCCATGCTCCCTGCCATGTTGATAATGAACTAAGCCTCTGAAACTGTAAGCCAGCCCCAGTTTAATGTTTTGTCTTATAATAGTTGTCGTGGGCATTGTGTCTCTTCACAGCAATAGAACAGTGACCAAGACAGACACTTACTCTGTAAAGAGCGGTATGACTTTTGGGACGGATGGACGGACAGACACACACACGGACACACACACACACCTAGATTTTTGTGTTTGGGCTCTCAAGCAGCTTATAAACTAAAAAGTTAGACAGTAACCAAATCAGGCAACAGTGGAGCTCCTACAGAATCCTTTAAGTGCTCCAACAGAGACAATACTGAACTATGCAGAAGAGTGAGGGGGAAGGAAAAGGTTACATTTGGGGTTAGCTTAGAGTATCGTAGAGAAAGCACTATTTGAACAAGGCCTTTTGGGGTAGGTATCTTTTACTGGTGGGTAAGAGGGTGATGGTGGGGAGCAAGGACATTATAAGTAGATTACAAGTAGGTAGACACTCCTTGAACAAAGGTATAACATTTGCAGAAAGCAAAGTATGTTTGGGGGAAAGGGGTCAACCACTGTGGCTGGAGCCTGAAAATCTGGAATAGGTCAAGTGTGGATGGTCTTGAACAGAAGTAAAAGAACTTGGTTTCAAAACTTCAGACCAAGGAGACCTTTGGAGATCACAAGTATTATCAGTCTTGTACTTTGGAATATGACTCTGAAGACCTATGTGAGCAGTTAAGTTGAAGAAACAGAATAAAAGGGGGATCAGGACAGAGACACATCTGCTACTATGTCATGAGCTTCTTCATTCAGTAGAAGCTCCTCAGGCTTGCAATTCTGTAGACAATGGCTCTTTCCTACCTTCCCTGCTTCATCAAAGGTTCTCCTCCTCCCACAGGACCCATGTTAGATATATTCTTACCCATGAAGGTTTTGATGCCTGTCAGTCAGTAATTCCCTCTGTGAGCATCCTCAACATGCATTTGAGAAGCCCTAGTCCAGCCTAGGACTTGTTATGTATACCATTCAGGGTTAGAATTCTTCAAGGACAGGACTTGAGTCTCACCCATTTTTATTTCTTTCCTAATGCTTGGCATGGGTTTTGGAACATGGAAAACTTTAGTGAATTAATTAGAGAAAGTGGATGAAAGGCAAGGAAGGATAAATGGGGGGTGGGGTAGGGAAGAGAAGATTTGGTGCCAGGTATAACTTGGTAGTAGAGTATATACTTATTATAAACAAAGCTCTGAGTTCAATCCCTAGCACACAAAAAAGAGGAGAAAACAGAGAAGGCTTGATGGGAATGAGGGAAGGGTGACTGGATAGATGGAGTAGATACAATGATGGGACAGACAAGAGAAAGGATAAGAGGAAAATGATGAATGAAAGGAGAATACAGGATCCCTCTCTTCCCTTCAATACAGTCATGCATTAGACCTAGAGAGAATGTCAGATTTGAAATCAATTGTATCTTGATCCTATCACTTATAACTGTGTCCCTTTAGAAAGGGTATTTCACCTCTTTGGCCTTATTTTTTTTTTACTATGAAATAGTGAAAAACTATAATGATAAAAAGTGTTATTGGGGACTGGAGAGATGGCTCAATGGTTAAGAGCACTGACTGCTCTTCCCAGAAGATCTGGGTTCAATTCCCAGCACGCATATGGCAGCTCACAACTATCTTTAACTCCAGTTCCAGGGGACCCGACACCCAGGGCAAAACACCAATGCACATAAAACAATAGTATTATTGATGGGATAATGTAGTTGTGATAAAAAAAATACTTGCAGTACTCAGAGGATTGCTTTGAGTTTGTGAGCCTTCTGAAGAGCAGATTTAGTCTTAATACTTGTTTTTCTATGCCTAAAACCCAGCATAGTATTAAGCACAGAACATAGTCTCATGAAATGATATAATTTGTAAGACTGTTGTGACAGTGGTAATAGCAGTGGTAGAAGAGGTTCTAATCCTGGAAACAAGGATGTGCAGCATTTTCTGTACTGAAAGGGATGGCCTTCTACCTTCCTCAGTTTTCAGGTAGTGGCCTGTGGTAGGGATATATAGAAAATGATTTCTGAGACATACCTTTAGTTGGTGTTCCTATCCAGTTGAGATAGCGTGTGAGCTTCGTAGAGATGTAGGTCTTGCCTCGAGCTGGTAAACCCACCATGATCACCATTGTGGGAGAATTGGTGAACTGTGGTATGGATGCTAGAAGACAAAAAGATCCTCAAAAGCTTATCCCTACACTTAGAGGCTCATCTGCTATTAGCTTAGAGATGTAGAGTTAGAAACCACACTACTTCCATCATTATGAGAAAAAAAGGGGGGTGTTAAATGGGCATCACAACTTTTCTTAGAATCATCAGAAAATTGAGGTTACAGTGCAGATAGCCAACTTAAACTTGTAAAAAAAGGCATCTGCAGAGGGCAATAGAACTCTGGCATTTCTTAGTTGATACAGACTCTGATGAACAATATACAAACTCATAAGAAGATCCAGATAAACTGACTAATGAATTGCTAAGGCATTGCTAATGTGACATTCAAAAGGACTGCAGACAAACAGCTTTAAATATTTTTTCAATTTTCCTTCAGGTGCTGGCAGAGAAGACTGAGAAAAATCCTGAGAAAAGTATTGTATAGTTCTGGCCTGGGGAAGAGAATAGAACAATAACCATTGCTCAAATTCTGCCCAGAATATTTGCTCCATATTCCTGTGGGGAAAGCCTTACTATTCCAAGGGAAAGGCAAGAGAAACTGTAGCTTGAGAGCACTGGTGGTAGCTTACTGAACCTGACAGCCAATCCTGATCAATCTACCCCTTCTCTCCTGGAACTCAGGGCAGACCAATTTACCTTCTCTTACCTGGGAGGGAAAATATTTCAATCTGCAGAAGGAGGCGAAACAAAAGTTAAGGGCACCGACGAAAACTCTCTGAAGTGGGAAGAAATACAGAAAATGTACTTGCCAAGCAGGGTGCTAGGCCTTCTCATTACATTTGGAGTGCAAAAACACTTGTGATGGTCACACCTTCCATACTCAAGGGAAGCCTGCCAAGGACTGAGACTTAGTAACAGAACATCTTAGTTCCCCATTCCTCACTACCAAACTAAATAGCTTCAGGAAAAGTAGTAGTGAAGGGGGCTGGAGAGATGGTTCAGCAGTTGAGAGCATTTGCTGCTCTTGTAGAAGTCCCAGGTTTAGTTTCTAGCAACCATGTGTCAGCCAAAAACCACCTGTAATTCCAGTTCCAGGGACTCTATTGCCCTCTGCTGCCCTCCACAAGCACATACACATGCAGCAAAGCACTCACACATGTCACAGCCATATCTGAATGGAATGGCAGAAGTCATAAAGCCAGCATATCTGCCTGATAAAAGATCCAGCAAAGCTGAGTCGCATGATGGCCGTCATGCCACCTTTGGTTTTCATCTCCACCTGTCGCGTACTTGAGGGACTTTAATATTTGTACAATTTGGGGATATTGGACTGATGGAAAACTTCTTATGAATCATTTATGCCTTCTCCCAGGAATGCTGCCTCTAAGTTTACACAGGACAGCCCTGAACATACTATTCCCCCCACTTTTAAGGAGATATCCTTATCTACTTGAAAATCTTCCTTACACCTTGGAGATTATGACACATAAAGAAGCCAGAGGTCTCTTCATGAAGCTATGAGACATTTTTTGAAACATCTGTCCCTGTACTTACACAGGAACAAGATATTCAAAACAAAGTAAACTAAAAAAGTCAACAAGATTCGGTGGGCTAGAGGAGTTGGCCACAGTTCAGATTACAAGCCTCTTCCCACTATACAACTCAGACAATTACGTGACATATACTTCTGCCCTACACAGAGACATATTGAGCAAAGTATGAAGTGGGAAGATGATGAAAGAATGAGAGGTCAGAACCTCCCTCTCTTAGGACAGTTAGCACATGCAGAGCCACTGTGGTGGCATATGACCGAGGAACAACAGAATGCCAGGATTAGACATATAGACAAATTCTATAAAGATATAAAATAGAAACATTGTATTATGTCAGAATTTGAATAATAACTGCAGCAGCTTTAGCCTGAGGATTTTTCCTGGGCACACTGATCATTAAGAGTTAATAATACGCCAGGTGGTGATGGCACATGCCTTTAATCACAGCACTCAGGAGACAGAGCCAGGTGGATCTCTGTGAGTTTGAGGCCAGCCAGGTCTACAGAGTGAGATCCAGGACAGGCACCAAAACAACAAAGAGAAACCCTGTCTCGAAAAACAAAAACAAAAACAAACCAAAAAAAGTTAATAATACACTGCTTGGGGCATGGCAATATGCCTGGCTGTTTTGAAGATTTTGTTTTGGTCTAGCATCCTGGAAACAACCAAAGCTACCAGCCTGAGAACAGGCTCTCATATGCCTCTGGATTCATAAAAATTGGGTTATAGGGTTAATGCATAAACTCTGTTTATTAGTGATATCAAAACTTGAGGAAAAAATGATTGAAAATGATAACTGTTCTGTCATAGTTTATTAATGATGACTAAAAGATGAGCAAAAGGAAGTGAAACTACATGTCTAAAACCAAAAATGATATGATCTATGTTTTGGAACATCATGAATGTATCCCTGCTTACTAAATCCTGTATAAATAAAGAAGCACCCTGGCTGCTAGTCAGTCCGGCTGCAAGATCCTCCTGACCACCATGGCCTGGCTCACCTCCTTCCTTCACCAACTCCTTAGATCCTCTCTGGGACCTGTCCTGCAGGGGATAGCTCCTGTCAGAGCAGGACAAGCCACCCGAGATGTGCCTCCTCTCTGTCCATCTCTCCTAACATGAAACTAAGAAGTGTCCTGCATCTGACTCCTCCCATCGCCGCTCTTGCATCCACCCACCTTCAGACCCTGCCGTCACCTGGAGCCGGACTCCGGCACATACACATAAAATGTTTAAAGAAATCTTAAAAAAAAAAAAAAAAAACCCAACAAAGCAAAACAAAACAAACAAAAAACAAAAAACAAAAAACCCAAGATGAAACAGTACTGCAAATATCTTCATGAGATAAAAAAGGTGGACTGTCTCTAGGGGGCAACACAAAAGGAGAAGAATCAAGACCAAACAAAAAGTCTGAAGAGAGAGAAAGCATCAGAAACACTTAGTTATGACACTGATGCTGGAATTATCAGACTGACGATTTAAACTGGCTATGACTAACATGTTAAATGTTTTATTTGAAAGGTAATCATACAGGATGAGAGAGCTATCTACCACTACTTTACTACACCAGCATAATCTCTAACAATAATCAACATTTGTCCTTATACTCACAGGTAAGTACAGTCCTCTCCCTTCATCACGGAAGCTTATCTCTGCAACATACAGAGACCACTACAGAAAACCACAACCAACCAAAATGTAGAGTTGTGGACCCCAGTCCCAATGAATACAGCTACAAAATAACTCTCTCATCCAAGGCTTGGGAAACATTGAGGAAAATGGGCAGAAAGAATATAAGAGCCAGAGGATCAGGAAGTCTGCAGTGAGACTGTGCCTCCTAGTAATGTCAGGAGCTATACTCATTGTATGTCTCCATTACAGCCCAGTAACCCAACCACAGCAGAGAATTCCAACATAGTTGGAGCACAAGTAAAAGACCTTAAAACAGCCTTTATGCATATGATAGAGTTCTTAAAGAAGGAATGAACAAATCCCTTGAAGCCCGAAAGTAGAAGTAGAATCAATAAGAAAAACCCAAGCTGGACGAAATCTACAAAAGAAAATTTCAGGTACTCAAACAGGAACCATAAAGGCAAAATTCACCAATAGAATACAAGAGATGGAAGAAAGAATCTGAGGCACTGGAGCTACGATCAAAAAAATGGATACCTCAGTCAAAGAAAAGATTAAATATAAAAAACTCAGCACAAAACACCCAGGAAATCTAGAATACCATGAAAAGACCAAATCTATGAATAATAGGAATAGAAGAAGGAGAAACAGCCCAATTCAAAGGCACAGAAAATACTTTTAACAAAATCATAGAAGAAAGTTCCCCTAACCTAAAGAAGGAGCTTCCTATTGAAGTACAAAAAGCATACAAAACACCAAATAGACTGGACCAGAAAAGAAAGTTCCCTCAGAACAAAATAATCAGAACACTAAACATAAAGAACAAAGAAAGAATATTAAAAGCTGCAAGGGAAAAGACTAAGTAACATATAAAGGCAGAGCTATTAGAATTACTCCCGACTTCTCAATGGAGACCTTAAAGCCAAAGGAGCCTGGACAGATGTGATGCAGACTCTAAGAGACCACTGATGCCAGCCGAGAATACTGTACCCAATAAAACTTTCGATCACCATAGATGTAAAAAATAAGAAAGTCCGTGAAAAAAAAAAACAAATTTAAGCAATATCTATCTACAAATCCTACAGAAGGGGGGCTAGAAGGTAAACTCCAACATAAGAGGGTAATAACTACATCCAAGAAAACAGAGGGAATAAATAATTCCAGACCAGCAAATCAAAAGAGGGGAAACATGCATACACATACCACCACCACCACCACCACCGCCGCCGCCATCACCACCCACCACCACCCACACCACTAAATAACAGAAATAAAAAATCATTGGTCATTGATATCTCTCAGCACCAATGGTCTCAATTCCCTAAAAAAAATGACATGGACTACCAGAATGGATGTGAAAACAGGTCCATCCTTCTGCTGCATCAAAGAAACACACGTTAACATCAAGGACAGACATCACTTCAGGGTAAAGGGTTGGAAAAATACATTGCAAGCAACTGGACCTAATAAACAGGCTGGTGGAGCCATTTTAATATCTGGCAAAATAGACTTCAAACAAAAACTAATCAGAAGAGATAGGAAAGCACACTACATATGTATCAAAGGAAAAATCCACCTAGAGGACATTGCAATCCTTAACATCTATGCACCAAACACAAGGGCACCCAAGTTTGTAAAAGAAACACTTCTACAGTTAAATCATATATTGACTCTCACACACTAAGTGGGAGAATTCAATATACCACTCATGCCAATAGACAGGCCATCCAGACAAAACATAAAGGATAGAAATGCTAGAGCTAACTGACACCACAAACAAAATGGATGTAACAGATCTATACAGAACATTTCACCCAAACACAAAAGAATGTAACTTCTACTCAGTACCTCATGAAACTTTCT